CCTCCTGTCTCAGCTGCACACGATATGATGAGACGTCATGATTGAAGGGCCCGGCAATTTTAGGATATGAGATACTATGATTGGTTCGCATTGCCAGATATAAAGCCGGCACTAGCGCGCCTTTGCTTTTTATTTCCATAAGAGGCAGGACATACCTTGTTTTTACTTTTGAACCCTAAGTCGGGTGAATGTTAGTAATATTGTCGTAATGAAAGTGAATGAACATTCCGAAAACCCGTGCTGACGCAGGCATTCTCATCACCAAATCTCCTTTTAGTAACAGCTCATTGAAGGAAACTCTGCAAGTGGATACGTCTTTTGTTCTTACTTCCTAGGCTATCAACGGACGTAATACAGGTAGACAACTTATAGTAAAAATACGCCCTCAAGACCATTCGTCTCACGGGAGAGGTGGGGGCGGCCTCCCCGGTTATCCAGCACGAACCGCCCCTCCCCCCCCCTCTCCTACCCCCACCCCAGATGGCGATGCAACAAAACAAATTCAGGAGGAAAAACAAAGGGGGTAAAGGGGCGAATCTGCGCCGCATGGAGACAAGAATCGAAAGCGAGGAAGCTCATGATTCATAAGCCGCGTGTCCGTGGCATCGTCAAGTGACAAATTGGTGGAAAGAACAGAGAGATTAAATAGAGTGCGGACAAGTCAGACTACTGTTGCCGCCGGTGCTGCGAGAGTCACTTAAAAGTCCCAGTTGAAGCTTGAGTTCTTCTGCGCTCCCGACGTGCCCTGCTTCTTGCCATTGTTGGCCTTTGGCGTCGGTTCCGAATCTTCGCCATAGAGCCAGTCTCGGTTGGTGCCCTTGCGGCCACCCATGCCGTCGCCGGCAATGTGAATGCCTCCCGCGTTCTCCTTCTTGGCCTCCTCGGCAGGCTTGTGCACCTTGCTAGGAGCAGGAGACTTGTCCTCAATGGCGAAGTGAGGGTCAAAGTCCTTGTGGCGGTCCGACAGGTTCGTGATGTTGCCCAGCGCTCGGTTGGGAGCAGGTGTAGGTGCTGATCCGTCTTCATTGTACAGGTTGTTCTCATACAGATGGGAGCCTTCGTTCTGGCCTGCACCGCGAGGCCGGCTAGAGACGCGACTTCCAGGCTGGGGAAGCCCATCGTCAAGGTATTCGAAATGGGCCTCGGCATCGCGGCGAGGCTTGGGTGGTGCGTGGTGCACAGGGGTCTCCTGAATACCAGAGTCCTTGTCCGCGTCCCAGTGGCGGACATCCTGGTGGCGGAACGCCTTTGAGGGCTGGGGCTTGTGGGGGGTGGTGAAGTCTTCGAAGGACCAATTTGCGCCGTTCTTGGCAGGCTTGGGCTTGTGCGCATCGCGAGCAGCAACCGCGGCGGCAGCATCCTGAGGATCAGAGCCATCGGCGAAATCGAAGTGGTCGTACTTGGTGGGATGAGGACGGTAGGCCTTGCTGGGGCTCATGGTGGCCTCGGGCGATTCGGGCTCCAGTGGCGCATTGGGGTCAGCGTCGAAAAGTCGCTGGGGCTGGAAGTTTTTGCCGGCGCCAATCTTGGGCGCTCGCTCGCCCCCGGTGCTGGGTGAGCTAGGGTCTTCCACAGGCGCATCCGTCAGGATGTCAGTGAATGACCTCTTGTGAGGGCGGGGGCCTGCGTATGGCGACCCGGCGGGCTGGCCGTTGGTCTCGTCAGCGCCTGCTGCTCGCGAGAGGCAAATAAAGACAAGGACGCGTGGGGGTCCCTCAGGATGTTCTGGGAACTCCGCGGGAACGAATCGTGATTTCGTTCGTGTCGGGTGCGCTCGCGATTCTGCCGGAGGCCTTGAGGGCAGTCGTGATCAACTTGGTTTGTTTCTTGCCATCGCGAATAGGCCAGTTGCGTCCGGACTTGCCAATGATTTCGAGCTGCCTCAGGAACGAGCCCTGATTCCAGGTCAAACGGATTTGTGTGATCTTGCTTCGGCATCGAAAGTCACGAAGTGAGTCTGGGCAACCAGAGGTCAGTACCCCATGTGGGCAACCGAGTTCGCGAGCTCTTGGCTGGCCAAACATACAATAGTGAAGTAGACCTTCTGGTCAGCCAGGAAGTTGTCGTCGAGACCAGGCAGGTAGGCACCACCGCTCGTCACGAATTCAAGGGCTGTCTCAATCTCGGCTGCTAGCGCATCACGACCCTCCACCACGTCGAGTATGTCCTCCTGGTGCTTCTTCAGCTGGTTCCGCTGGGTGCTGAGGTGCTTGATGATGTCGGTAGGGCCGTTGAAAGTCGAAGTGGTGGTGATGTAATGGAGAGTCGCGTTCGCGGCAAGCAGCGCCGAGTTGGGGGAGGCGAGAAACTGCCGGTACGCCGCCGTGGCAGACATGGCGAACGGAAGCGAGATGGAACGTGGAGAAGCGAGGTTAATGTTCAGTGTCTCGGAAACTTGTATCGGCGTCTGGTCGTGTGGGGTGGTTGTCGGTGGGTAAAGTGGTAGAAGATGGCTTGCAAGTATGGGAGGGAGCTAGAAGAAGCTGGTGACGATGAACTGAAGACCGATGTTGATCAAGGTAGGCAGAACAACAAGGGGGGGGAAGTGGGAAAAACAAGACAAGAGACAACACGTGTGACTGGCTATGCTTGACGTGGAGGAGGGCCAGAAGGGAGAGGGGGAAGCTACCTTGTGAGGGTGGATGGAGGAAGGAAAATTGAAGGGATTGCCCCTGTTTCTGTTGTTGGTCGTGGAGGGGGATGCAAGGGGGGGCAAGGGGAAGCCCGAACGCGACTCTGGAAGGTGCCGCAGCGTGGTGCCTGCCAGGCGTTCTGGCGCCGTGGCCACCCCTGTGGCGCGCATTGGGTTCAGGGGACTGGAGGCCACTAAACAGGTACTGTCGTCCATGCATAATATTGCCCTAAATTACAAGTCCCCGTTAGCATCACCTAGGAATCCCTTCGTCGAATCTAGAGCTGGGCTGTCGGACAGCGGGGGCAGGTGGTGAGTACGATGCGCCGCCATGAAGATGGCGCATGCTCGGCTCCCGCAGTTGGGATGGCAGGTCAAGGGTCAGGACAACGTGCCAGTTGGCGAAAGACATGGCATTGTTTGTTTGACCCAATCGAAAATGACACAAGCTCCATCTGTCCTCCCCGGGCATGCCTAACTCGTTCAATGTGCCGTCCATCATCATCATCAAGATAGCCATAACTTGTCAGTGGAAACGCAACTTGTCCACAATGATAATAAACAAAGCGAGAATCACGACGCGAACCCAAAGAAAGGTCTGGCAGGGATGTCGCGTTTCGGGCTGTACTGTGTTTCACATGGGCCGCCATATCGTAAACGGCTTAGCGTGGGCACCCCTACCTATTTGGGTTACACGCAGAACGGCACGGAGAGGCTCTTCCTCCACGACTCCGCGACGCCCGCCGAGCGTGTGGACAACGTCATCGAGGGGCGGATCTCAAGCCATGGCGGATGAAAATGGCCGTTATTTATTACTCAAGCTCTCACTCTACCTGATAATGTCTCAACTCGGCTCTTATCCGTTGACGATGACGCCGCCGTTGCAATGAATAACCTGTCCGCTTAGGGCAGAGCTATCTGTCGAAGCCAGGAACACGACGCACGTTGCAATCTCTGATGGCTGCGCGGGACGTCCCATGGGGCTTGTGAAGTTCTTCTGCGCCTCCTCATTCATTGTCGCTGGTATGAGCGGCGTCCACACTGGGCCTGGTGCGACAGCATTCACGCGGATGCCCTTGTCGACGTACTGGTTGCTCAAACCTCGAGTAAACGATACGATGGGCGCCCTTGGTCGACGTATAGTCAAGCAGGGCCCGGTCGTCCCATGTAAGCGTTGATGCTCGCATTGGTTGATAATGGTCGCGCCCGGCTTCATGTGGGGGCAGGGCATACTTGGACAGGAAAAAGAACGGGTGAATGTTGGTGTTGAAGGTATGCAGCCACTGATCCTCGGATAGGTCTTTGATGTTCTCTACCATCATCTGGTAGGCGGCGTTGTTGAAGAGAATATCAATGCCTCCGAGCTTCTCCAGTGCTTCATCGACGACTTTCTTGCAGTTGGCCTTGTCGGTAACATCGGTAGCCAGTAGATAGCACTTGCGGCCGTAGTCCTCGACGCGTTTCTTGGTTTCTTGGGCGTCGTCCTCTTCGTCGGGCAGATAGGCGATCAGCGTGTCAGCACCCTCCATGGCGAAGAGGATCGCAGAAGCGCGACCAATGCCAGAATCACCGCCGGTGATGATAGCCTTCTTGTCTTTGAGTTTCCCAGCTGCCTGGTAAAGTTTCTCGCCGCCGTCGGCTGTAGGGATCTTGTCGAACTTGGGTGTTGGGTGAGGCATGTCGCCTTCCTTGCCTGGAAAGCTCTGGCCGGTCACGGGGACCTCATGGCCTTGCAGGTCGTGTTAGAATCGCCAAGGTAGCTATTAGGGTGAGATGGTGTATGGCGTACCAGGCTCAAATTGCTCGGACATTTTGAACGGGTTATGCTTGCTTAGGATGCTTGAAAGTTCCTGTTCCTCTGAGGATACGTGCGAGAAAGTCAATATCTCAAGTTCTTCAACGCCTGTAGTCTTATGTTTTCATCGGTTCCAATGAATATAGTTGTGGTGTTTCGTCATAGGTGCCTCACCAGAAGACTTAGGCGGGTGTAGCGGGTCCAGGTAACATGGTCGTCATTGACCGGTAATGCCCTACTTCTCCAACCAGGTCAACCACAAGGAGAGGTTGAGACACCGTTGATTCAAAGTGATGTTAATCGTGCAGTGCTTGCTATGAGCCGCCAAGTATGCAAAGGATACATATTCGCAACAATGCGTAGAACCACTTATCACCTGCTGGCCCAAATGACCCCGCAAGCTCTGAGCCCGAACTCGGTGGCCACTAATTGTCTAGTTTCCATCATCACAATGATTCGTCTTATTGACAGCCTGCTTGTCGACACGTGCGGCGGGATAACCACGCATTGTGGCGAGAAACAACGTGGTGCGAGACGGGACGCGGTTGCGGGACGCGGTTGGTCAAGGTGGAAGTTGAGCTAACAGCGACGAGCTTCTCTATCATCGATTACCACTTACATATAGATACCTAGCCTTGAGTGGCAGAAAACTGCCCTTCCAGTCCCATGAAGGTTTCGGTAGCAGTGAATTGCATGCGCGAAACACCTCTACAGGATCGTTTGGTCCTCTCTGACGTCACGTCGAAGCCACGTGCGTGCTACATCAAGTGCTTGTTTTCGCCGAACATTATGTCAACCCCAAGCTTAGCCGATAATGCAGTCATGACTCCCCGAAATGAGGCAGTAGAATTTGGACCCCGAAAAGTCCCCTGACAGAGCACATTTTGGTATGCGGGAAAGTGTAGAATGGATTTTCCGAAGGGGGGACGGGGGACATCACGAAAATACATCATAAGAGAAAGTACCTTTAGAGGAAACAAGACAGCTCCGACCACGATTGACCAGAGTGCTGTAAACGGCCGGGCATATGTCCTAGAAAGACAAAGCTTGCGAGGGACGGGGGGGCTCCGATGCACGATGAGCCACTGACAGATTGGAAAAATGGGACAGAAAAAGAAATATACAGGGTCCAGCAACCAGGTCGAGATGGATGAATAGGAGGGCCGGATCGATATAGCCGCAGGATCGGAGTACTCATGCCTACCTACTAGGTAGCGGGCACCTCGTGAGGACGCAGAGTATGCTGCATTAGAGAAGAAAGCGGCCAAGTGAGGAGGCTTCATGGTTCGGCCAGTCCACATGGTCCAGTTAGATCAAGCAAGGCACCTGCTGGGGAAGGACGCACCGCAAGGTACCTACCTTACCTCGGCAGGTGAGTAGGTACCTAGGTGGGAAACGTGCAGCGAATACAAGGCACAGCCAGTCGAGGGCAGGCAATGCAAGAGCTAAGCTTGGACCGCTTTGTGATGGCTCACAGGGGAGGCAAAGACCATATACCTGCCAGGCAGGACGTGGCAGGTTTGACAGGTTCAAGGCCATATCGCACCGACAGTCATTGCCCCGATTTGCCGGCCCGGGTTGATGGGGCCTTCCGCGAATCGGGAGCAGGGTGGGTTCGGGGGAGGCAAGAGGCTCGAGGTAGGAAGAGGGAGGTTTGGCTGTCGTCGATTGGCGAAACAACCCCTGCTGGCGGCACTGCTTGTATCCAGACACCACGTTGCTTCCTTTTTCTCCAGCTCCTCCAAACTCCTGGTGTGCAGTCCCTCATCTCCCCCGATGATCATGAAGACTGAGAGGCGCCGCGAGTTCCAGGCCATGTCCATACCAAGAACCCCGCCATGAGCCTTTGTATCTCTACAGCCACCCGACGTCGTCCGTCCCGTCCGACCCACCCCACGTCGGTAAGATCTGGCGACATCTTGTCACGTCTCGACATCGCCGCGCCACAGCGCCAACAATACCACCCACACTTCCAGGCCACGGCACTTCAGAGATCGAGAACAGCTTGTGACGCCTAGCTTGTAGCATTGGCCAGTATTGGCTATTGGACGGCCTCGCCCTCGGACTCGTCTGATCTATCATCGGTTTGAGCACCGCGAAGACCGGTCTCAGAGCAACCAGAACTCTCTGTCGGCATGGGAACAAGATTACCCACCTTCAACGGCAGGAGTCGCAAACATGAGGTTTTTCCCATCAAGGTTTCTGTCAGAGGATCGAAGCAGCAGCGGGTGCGCCCACTTGGTCACTATGGGACGATGTTCAGGGTTACCGCCACGGAACAGGGATCTGGCGCAAAGGCGCTCGCAATCGTGGGCATCGCCATACTGCCAGAAGCCAGCTCCTGTGCTCCCCTCATCCGTAAGGCTTCGGCAAGGGGAGGCCAGAGGAGCTTGAGCAGCTTCATTTGTTCTTGCCTACATCATCAGCGCCGCTCTGTACCCCCACATACTCTTACGACGCGAAACATGGCCACCGTACATACTGTCTACACGATGCGACACACCATAAAACTGAAATCGATATGTGATGACTTTCGCAGCTCTCCCCCTCTCTACATCTCCACTTATGCGCTGCCGGATCGAAGCCGTGCTCCCCTGCCTGGTCGAGATCTTGAGATCAGCCATGATGCTGGGTCCGTGCATCATAGATGTCCTCCGCCCCTTCTCCGCCCTTCTCGCTTCACACGATACAGCCTCCATGGGTGAGATGCAGGCGACGACCGTTGGTGACGATGGGGGTGGAACGCTTGCGCCCCTCCTGCTTCCCCGTCTTCCCTTCCCGCACACCATGGCCTCGATGGTATGACAAGTCAGATGCGCTAGGACATAGATGTGTGACGACCCTTGATCCCGTGGCTGACTTCATCATCCCGGCACGCGACGTTATTCCCGCACGGTTCACTCCATTCACTGGCATCTTGCTTCTCCTGGCTTTGCCCGCAAAATTTGACCCCGGTACTCTCTTCACGCAAGCTGGTGGACGCTACTCAGTGACAAATCTTCGCCATATCTCCCTGCCGTAACAGATGACGACTGGTTCTGGTCTGATGTCTGCCACATAGGTGCGTGCTCTGGGCGAGAAACTACGTATGAATCCTTCCATCCCCTGCGTTCGTCCCCTGGTTAGACGTGTTTCCCGACACTCGTCCGCACTCTCAAACCTATAAATGCTCCATGTCCTCTTAGGTTACGAGTACGCACACGCCTCGGTCACAGCCAACGCTGTTGGGGGTTATCAGACGCCATAGTACACCCACGTTGCCCACCATGGAAGACTACTCAAACATCAAGTCAAGGGGAGTACAGATGTTCTACATCCAGCTCGTATTCCTGATAGTTGCAGGCCTCTTCGTCCTGCTCAGGGTCTACGTCAGGGCTGTGTTGGTCAAGAAAGTAACTCTGGATGACTGGCTTATTTTCCTTGCTATGGTCAGACTTCTTAGTTCTCCCATTGTGGCATGAGCTAACTCAGTCAGCTCATATATCTTGTGTATGGTGCTGTTGCTCTCGATGGCATTCGAAACGGCGCCACTGGAAAGTCCCTCGCCGAGCTCGAGATAGACGATGCGGCTGTCTCACTACGGGCTTGGTATATCTGCGAAGTTCTCTATGCTCCCACGACCTTGGCCATTCGCGCGTCAGTCTGTGTCTTGCTCCTCCGTCTCGCCTCGAACAAGATTCACCGTTGGATCATATGGATCAATCTTGCCGTCGTTAGCGTCGTCTCCATCGCCTTCTTCTTCCTACTGGTCTTCCAGTGTAGCCCCGTACATTTCTTCTGGCGCCAGCTATATGGAATTCAGGGCACCTGCATCGATCATAATATCGTGCCATACGCAACCATTGCTCACAGTGTCATCTCGGCTTTGTCTGACTGGTGCCTGGGACTGCTACCTATTGCGTTGCTTTGGAACGTAGATATCAACAGAAGAACGAAGGTCATCATTGCGATTCTCTTGAGCATGGGCATGGTGTAAGTCTTTGTCGCTTGCTTTGACGCCGGGTGCTAACAAGACGAAGTGCTGGAATCGCCCTCATTGTCCGCATTCCTTTCGTACGCCACTTGGACATTTCCATGGAGTTTCTATATGCGACAATGTAAGTCCCTTGATCAAGCTCCCGACATCACTACGTACTGAGAAACAACATCAGTGACGTAGCCATTTGGTCCATCATGGAACCTGCCCTTGGCATCATCGCAGCTTGTACAGCTACCTTCCGTCCTCTTTTCAAGAATTGGGGTTTTGGATGGACAAGTAAGCGAGACCCTCGCGACGACAATATCCACAGCCCTGACCAGAAGAGCACGGAGCTCTCGTCGACCACTCACACGGTATCCAAGCACCTGAGCCAGCTTGGACCCAGCGGCGAGTCACAGATGGAGCTCAATGTTGTCTCAATACCCAGCTCGCCGCGGGATATCGAGAAAGGGCAAATCCGTGTTAGGTCTCCATCACCGACATACCGAGCGTACAGTCCTGATGGGCCGAGGGACAGTGGAGAGGGGCATCCTGATATGCCGGCACCACCGCCAGCGCGGCGGTAGCTTGGCCCCGCCAGTCATTCAGAGCAAGCGTGACGATATTTGGAGGCGTTCCAGTGAACGTTCCGGTATGAAATTCATGATGAGAGCAGAGATAGACTTAGAGGGAATGCGAATCATGACTTGTTAATGACTCCTCTGCTGAAGTTACTAGAGATGGTCTCCAGCGAGTAGGAGCTGCAAAAAGTAATACTACTGCCACCTGACGATCTATGTAGCACTTACAGAAAAGGCCGCACCGCCCCCGAACCTTGCCAGATTCAAGGGCACATCGAGTGCTGCATCAAACATAATCTAAATCGATGTCCGTCCACATCATGGCACATCGCGAGGCGGCTAGCATCACGCTTGATACTTGACTCGAGAAAAGAAAGAAAGCAGAACAATAGGTAGATACCCAACTCGATTGTACGATTATTCTCGAACATGTTAGTGGTCGCCGCGTTTAACCAGATAACACAGGAGCTTGGTGAATCCCTACGCTAATTTCAACCCGGCTCCGGACTAGGAAGCCAGCATATCCTACACATCTTTTCAGCCAAGACTGGTTACTATTGAATGAGGCGACTTGTGTTCAAGCATCTAATGCTTAGCTGCTAGATGCTTAGCTGCTTCAACTCGCAGATGACCGTGCAAGTGGCGGGCTGAGGTATCGGACGTGGACAAAACGGCCCGGAGTGTGAACGGAGACTTCGAAAGCCAGAATACAGGCTTCAAAACTGCCTGGAACTACTGCTGAGCAGACTGATATGATGCTGCCAAGCCTGGACTTCAATGTACCGTACGCCATGAGCCGACCCTATGCCTCCCCAACAAGCCATGTATGTCACGATGAAGATATGCCAGGTAGGTCACACATCGAGAGCATAGAGCGCGCATCAGCAGCAGAAGCGTCATCACCATCATCACAAAAGAACGTTGCCCGGCATTGTTCAACTTCGGCAACCACTGACTGCATCAAGACCGCCGTCTCGTCGTATTGGTACACAAGGGGACAGCTCCCAGGCCACCTCTAGCCGTCGCTGTGCAGCCGTCAGCGCCCAGGCCGGTGTCGACGCCCTCTTCAAGATGCCTACAAAGCTCCGGAAAAAAAATACAAAGCAACATGCCAGAAAACGCCAGGAGAGAAATATGTGTGACGTCTCCTCTATTGTCTGCTCGACCGTCCTCCCATCCATCTCAATGATCAAATCCCCCCACCAGCCAGCCTTGGTATCGTATCGCAGGTCGCATTCGAATCGCCGCCGCCGCCGTCTCCTCACAGCGCAATCGCCCCCCTGCGGCTCTCTCGCATGTGCAGAACGCCCTGCATGCCGCAGAAGACTAGGAAGCCCTGCGTCGACACATTAGCACTAGTCATAAACTGAGACCTTTCAGGTCAGAGAGGAGAAGCGAGGAGAACTTACCGCGTAGATGATCACAGCAACGAAGATGGTGCTCGCGACAACGGGGCCGTTCTTGGGGTCCTCAATACCGCCGACCAGCTCGTGGTTGTTCGCCCTGAAGAGCAGACCCAAGACGCCGAGAATGAGGATCGCGAATACGGAGATCACCGTGCTGCAGTGAGCACACGCACGTTAGCCTGCTGTTGATGTTGCCGCCGGGCTTGTCGACATGTCTGGAGCTACAGATCGCGAGGACGAGAGGGATACATACCACGACCACGCCTGCATAGCACTCACGACAGGCTTCATGATTGCGAAGTCTGGTTTGTCTGGGGCCTGCGAATTGGTTTCGGTTTCTGGATGCTGTTGCAATGCCGGTCAATCGCGGATTTCAGGCTGTTGATGTAGAGCTAGCTGCCTGGAGGGTACGGGTGTGTCGTCAGTGGAGGTTCGCATGGGTGAGGCTGGAGCTAGGAAACAGGCTGTACTGTGGCTTAATCTGCACCGCCACAGACAGCAATTGCATGTCACGTGATGGTCTCAATCTTCTCGAGGAAAGCCCACATCACTACTCCGCAAAGTTCAAGTCAAACAAGCAAGAGACGCAACACTTGTAATAGTGTATTCATAATGATTCTACGTAAGCGTACTTTTTCCAGTCCATGCGCCCGCAGTCATCTAGCCCCCGGCTTCTTGGCAAAACAGTTGGGAGCTGGCCCCTTAAATCACATATCAAACACTGAGTAGAGCAATGAGCCCAACCATCGTGGAGATTAGGATTGCAGAGACACACGCTTTGTTGCCCAGGTTTTGATCGGCCTTGCTTTCTTTGCACTCCTCTGAATCGTTGTTGCATGCCCTGCACCACTCCTTTCGGCTCACGATCGCGGTCGGCTTGTATTCAGCTGAGAACTTCTTGTAGCGCAAGCCTTTGCCATTGGGCCCGAGAAAATGTTCCTTGAAGCCATCTAGCTTCGAATGAGTGTAGAAATGAACGAAGACGTCTTCGTGATTTCCGACAGCGGGGTCCTCAGCCTCCTAGATGAGTTCGAAAACCACAGAGGTGGCACGCGTGATGATCTTCTCAGCCTCTGGAGAAGAAGTGTCGAGGCGAGCGAGATGGAAAAACGACGGAATGGCATTGAATGGTCCAATCGATATTGTGAGCTGCGGCTTCTCGTAATCGTCCTTGATGACACCATCAAAGGCCTCGATGACTTGGCCCGCAAGCACTCTGCCAGCAACTGAACAGGCCTCCTTGACACCTTTGCCTTTTGGGGTGCACTCGGCCCAACTGACTCCCTTCTCGGGCCCTGCTTCGTGCGTCAATCCATCTGACTCTTTTGAATGTTTAACCCTCGTGGGGTTGACACTATGATGGACAACGACGTCTGCCAGAATGTTCTTCACTGAAAACTCTTCAAGGTCTCTGTAAGGAGAAGTGGGAGGGACTCGTCGTGTGGTGCAGAAGGTTTGGCTCTCGCGGTGGCTATCGGGAATCAGACCATGGGCGAGGCCGATGCAAGCGTGCCGGACAGCATGAATGTTCTTGTCGGGGAGGATAACCGTGGCTTGTCCCTTGACTATTTCATCAACCTCCCAGTTGCTGAGCCAGGTGGCTTCACTGCCAAAGTACCTGCTGGCGAATACTCGGCCAGAGTGTGAGCTGCTTGTGTTTTCGTACCACTCCTCGGGCATTTGGAAATCATGTTTGGTGTCACATTCTTCCTCTTGACGATGGTAGATGACAACACTGCGGGTAAAATTTGCAGCGTGGATGAGCGGCAACGTGACCAGCGCGAGGGCAACGTTCGTCAGCATATTTGCAGCTGAGAAGTGGACAATGTGGCCGTGAGATGGGACGTGAGTAAGAGGGGCAGAGATGAGGGTCGTGTTGAGTGAAAAGTAATCGGTCACATAAGATGTGCCAGATGAACCTGGGATTTCTGGGCCGATACTGAACCAGCTTTGCGGGAACACGGAGAACGTGGCAGTTGTATGGTTGATGACCGTTATCTTTCCGGGACGGTAGCGAGAAGAAGGGAGGTGCAGTGGCTATTTATGGTGACTATAAGAGAATGTGACGGCTGGACGACAACGAGTGGTAAACTAAAGTCGGTTTGAGGAGCTTGCTAGTAATGGGAGACAAGACGATGAAGATGGGAGATGTGGAAGAAGAGATGTAGAAGAAGAGAGGTGGAAGAAGAAGAGGGCAAACACCAAAAGTTTGCTCAAGGGGGGTAGGCGATCTTCGGCACATCATGCCAGGGAAGCAACGCTTTGTGTGGCACTTGAAAAGAACTAGCCGGGGCCTCCAGCGAAGGGAAGGAGGATGGGAGGCCTTATATCTCTGACCCGAAGTGAGAAAGAGGGAGTGGCCTTGTCGGTACCTTCCACCTCGGTCGGGGTCCGGGGAGCAAATTCGTCTGGTCACACGGCAAGCTTGCATCAGCCTATTAGGGCCATATTCAGCGAAATGCCGTAACCAAAGGCGACCACTGTGCCGATAAAAGTCTATACCTACGCAGTACTCTGCTCAAAGCTTGGCCTCCCCCTTACGCCCACTCTTGACATTCTTGGAGAAAGAACCTGACAGGATGAAGTCAGGGTACTTCACATGGTCGTCGAGGCCGACTGCCGTGCTTCCAGACCGCCTCCATGCACCACCGTCGACGGGGATGACCTGACCATTGACGAGACTTCCTGCGTCACTGAACAAGTAGACGGTCGAATCAGCAATGTCCCTGACTAGACCCCATCTACCGAGGGGAATGGCAGCCTCCGCAGCCTTCATGTCGACTGAGCTGCTCGACAGTCGCTGCATCCCTTCCGTATCTTTGATCGGGCCAGGAGCCACCACGTTGCTTGTGATGCCGTAGGGACCGTATTCAAGCGCCACCGAGGCCATGAGCGAATCGACAGCAGCTTTCGCCGCAGACACGTGGGCCTGGAGAGGCATGCCGGTGTAGTGGAACGTCGCCGACACGAACATGATCCTTCCGCCGGTCAAGCCATTCGTGCTCGGATTGGGATTCCTCTTGGCTGACTCGACCAGATACGGCACGGTGGCCTTGATCGTGTTGAAGGTGCCCAGGACATCAATATCCATGACTGCTTTGAAAGCGTTGGAGCTCATGCCAGAGATGGGAGCAACGAAGTTTCCCGCGGCTCCAGCACTAGGTCGCGATGAATCAGCATCGTGACCCGGGCAAACACGTCCGAGGAAACTTACATGACGAAATCAATGGCACCCAGTTCTTTGACACAGCGATCGGCTGCATCTTGCAAGCTCTTGGGCTGCATGGGCTTCGTAAGCAAAACGTCCTCACATGAACTGCACAGCGATTGAGGGCACGTACGTTCCTGACATCGCATGCCCCAATACCAATGACCTTTGCACCTGAGCGGGCAGTCGCGATGTCCTTGGCGACAGTCTCCGTCTTCTCCACGTTCCTGCCGATGATGCAGGCGTTCGCGCCCAGCCGGACAAGAGCTCTCGTCTGAGCACTGCAAATGGTGCCTGCTCCGCCAGTGACAAACACAACGCGATCCTCTGAGAAGGTGTCAGCTGGGCAAGCTCATGCATGTCGTGAGCGGTCACAAGAGAGGGGGCTCACTGAAGATGCCGTCCTTCCAGACGGAGCTCACGTATTCAGACTCAGGAATAGGCATTTTGGGAAGGGCGACTGTATGCAAGACAAGGAAGGATAGAAGCGATGAACAGTTTGTCAGATCCGCGATCTTGATGTATGCTACGTAGAGGAAGTGGAAATGATGAAGTGTACAACGACCGTACTCCGAGGATAGGAATCAAGCTCGACTAATCAGTGTCACCCGGGTCTTGCTGAGAGTTTGCCAAGGATCGAACCTCGGCAAGTCATCACCACCATCGTGAGCTTGGACTAAGAGTGGGCCCAAAGTCTGGGGAACTTACTTGTACTCGCCTAATGTGTGAGGCAGCGAGGGCATCAGCTGGGTTATTGATTTGATTAGGTAAGGTAGTCGGCTTGCATCAGTCTACGGTTGGCCTGTGAATCCTTCCCCACATGACCCCAATGCTACTGGAGCTTGGAGGCGTCTGCCTCCACAGCGCTCCGTTTCCAGCGACAGGCGCTATCCTCCGGCGGCCACCAGCGCCTGCCCAACAGCATTCGACCAGTGACCAGCCCCTCATTACCACCTGCCACGCCGCACCACGACCTTAGTTGTCAGTCATCAGGCACCCCCCACCCCCCGGACTCCAACCACCCGTAGGGAGGTACCCCAGCTCTTCGTACGTCGAACGACAGGCGGTCATCAGCTCTGTCCCATTCCCTCCCACTTCCGCCCTTCAACCTCCATCGGTCCCCGACTCCTTCAGCATCAACTAACCACCTGAGCCATGGCTTCCAGAGGAGTTTCGGCCCTGAAGTTCGTGGGCACTGTCTCACTAGGTCTCCTGACGGTATGTCTTGCTTTTTCTCGCCCTGCACTCTGTTCACGCCGGGTTCCTTGAGCGGCCGGGTGGGTAGTGACGCCACCACCGCCTGTTGGACTCCCCGCACCGCACCGCTCTCTCGTCCGCGACTCGGGAGGACATCTCCCTGTCGCAGTGAACGACCACTAACGAGAACACTCTCTAGGGCCTCTCCTACTCTCTCTCCGCCGTCACGGTGCCCTCGATTCTCGCCCTCCCCTCCGCTTCTGACGCCGTCCGCGCCTTCGAGAACCTCACCTCTTCCTCGACCCTCCAGCTTCGCGCTTTGACCGGCCTTTCGACCGCCTCCTTCCTCCTCGCCTTCTTCCTCTCCCCACGCGCCTTCCGCCACCCCTACCTTGTCTACGCCTCCGCCTTCGCCCTGACTTCCAGCCTCGCCGAGCAGATTGCCTCACGCTCTCTCGCCGCCGACTCGTCCTCCCACGAGGCCGCCCATGCCAACCTCGCCGCCCGTCGCGAGAGGCGCGCCGCCCGCAACGCCGCCCGGACGGCACGCATGGAGGCCAGCTATGAGGTCGTCGGCGACTCGCACAGCGACGGCACCGGCAGTGTCAGCGGCGCAGAGGACCTCGATGCCGAGGAGGAGGCGCTCAACGGGGAGCAGGTGCGCGGCGAGGTCGAGGCGTTTGGAAAGACGCAGCTGGTGCAGGCCGGTGTCGCATCTGTCGGCTTCCTGATGGCCGTCGTGGGTATCTGGGGCGAGGGCACCATTTACGTGTTTTAGAGAGTCGGACCTGGGTGCATGCTGATTCAGTCCATCAGTTTTCTCGCTTCTGGTGTTGGGTGTCGAGGATTGGCTTTTCGAAGTATGGATACACGAAGTCATCGCTGGTTTTTAAAAATGCCGTTTTCTCTCTGAGCTGCCACCTTCATGGACATAGGTTTAGGTCTGGCCGAATTAGACCAAGTATAAAGCTGAGGGTCGCAGTCCTGTGGAAATCGTGTGTGAAGTACCGTCTGCGTGCTGTGATGCCATGTCCCTTTTTGCTCTAGAGTTACTTCTACCTATGCTACTATTCTGTTTATGCGGAGGACTACCCATTCGTCTCGTCATTTTTGCATCAGATATTTCCAGTGCAATGCTGTGCATGCATGCCAGGCTCAACCCTTGAGCCTCTCCGTCCCAGCCATGTCGTCCTGCGCATCCTTGATCAAGAAGCTGCGGCCGAGGTCAGCACCACCCAGAACGACGTCGCGGCGCGTCAGACTACGAGACAGAAAGAAGGAAGGGGGTGACGTACTTGTACCACAGCACCGTCGGCGCAATGGTGCCGAGATGCCACAGGCTGTGGGCGTCGAGGGCGCCCCAGACGGGGGCAAAGTCGAAGAGCTCGAGGCTCATGACGGTGATGACGCTCGCGACGACGAGACCGGGCCAGACGGCCCAGGCGCGCTTCGTCTCGCGGTACTTGCTGTAGCTGTACCAGACCCAGAGGGCGTTCTGGACCATGCCGACGGCGACGTTGGCGGCCATGTTGTAGGTGTAGTCCCAGGCGACGCCCTTGAGGTAGCGACGTGGGCGGCGTAGAGGAGGGCGCAGAGCAGGGACCAGGCGCGCAGGACGCTGCGGCCGGCGGGGCGTGGCGCGGTAGAGGCGGAAGATGCGCACGACGGTGTAGTAGAGGCCGTAGAGGACGGAGGCGCCGGCGGCGAAGTAGTCGAGCTGCTCGGTGGCCGTCGAGTCGCGCGTGTGGAAGACGGCGGAGAAGACCCACGAGACGATGCCGACCTGGGCGAGCAGGACGTAAAAGGGGTGCAGCGGGTAGGCGGTCGGGATGGCGGCGCGGAGCTTGCGGAGGCCGTTCCGGTGCGCCACGAGGTTGCCGAGGGAGAAGAGGACCGAGGCCGGCTCCTGCATGCCGAGGAGGCGTTGGAAGGGCCACTTGCCGTGGAACTGGACGATGGGCAGCGCGCGGTCGACGCGGCGGTTTGTGATGATGTGTTGGCAGGTGTAGTCGCATTCGGAGGAACATGTCCAGAAGAGGAGGCGGCGGTGGAGAGCTGTCAGGGACGAGAAGGTCAGCGTGCTGTCGTGGCGGATGACAGACAGGGGAGGAAGAGGTCCGTTCCTTGTCTGTCGGGGGGGGGGGGTTAGCGGGAAATGCATACGAATCGGTGTCGGATTGGAATTCAGGCAGTTCTCCTGCTTGCAAACCTGCGATCAATGAGCTGGTGTCCCTCAGGGTTGCGGGGAGGGCATCACACGAACCTCGACACACTCACGAAAGTCTGGGAGGCGGTCTCCCACAGAAGCGTCAACAACGACGGCAAAAAGGAGAAGCAGGGCGATGCTGCATAGCAGTGGCGAGAGCCATGCTCTCGCACTCGATCGGATCATGGCTGCAGCATGGACGAAAGGCAAAGGTAGAATGGAAGCAAAGTCGCCTGTTCCGAGCGTCTGGTGAATGCAAGAAGCCGACAGCGTGTGCTCACTTCCTCCCCCCCTTGCCCCCCTCCCCCTGCCAAGCTGTTGCTCGTCACTGGCTGGCGGGTCAGGGCTGATTGGCTGCGTCTCGGAGCTGCACTGACCCCCGTCCCCCTCCCCTCCCTCCTCCCCAGATCTCGGGGGTGTGCGCTGGAGCGGCCCGCACGTGAGACCCTGATCGTGCAATCGGGCGTCTTCGGGCGTCGGAAATGAACAGCGATGAAATGACTAGCTTCATTCCTCCGTTGCAGTCCCGCTCGAGGCTTCGTGTACCCCCTGGTGCGGATAGGTTGTGTGACTGGACTTCTGGAAGGGTCAAGACGCCCATTACGGAAAGCATGTGTCGAGCTTAGTAATCAGATCTGTGTCTGCCGGCCGAGGGTGGGGCAATGCCCCTCCGTACCCCGGGCTTCTTTGAACAATATTCGGAGGGGCATCACTTGGGATCAGATTGACATTCTCAGCGTCTGTGTTCCATTCATCATCGAAAATCGAAATCGGTCATCCCTCCAACCCAGATACCACCTCAAGACCCTGCAGTCAAGTTGACGACCAAGCCGTCACCATGTTCACAGGCATCGTGGAAGACCTCGGCAGTAAGCCCCTCCCTCATATGACTCCCTCATATGACTCTCCACCTCTGTGGCGGACACACGCACTCACACTGCATAATCGCAGCCGTCACCCGAGCTCAACGCGCAAGACGCCACCGGCGGTACCTCCCTGACCATCACGTTGGCCCCCGACTCCCAACTCCTTTCCGATGCCCACCTTGGCGACTCGATCGCCGTCAACGGCGTCTGCCTGACCGTCACCTCCTTCACGCCGACGGCCTTCACCATTGGCGTCGCCCCCGAGACGCTGCGCATCACCAACCTCGGTGCCCTGACGACGGGCTCGCGTGTCAACCTCGAGCGCGCCGTCCGCGCCGACACGCGAATGGGCGGCCACTTTGTCCAGGGCCACGTCGACACGACGGCCACCATCGCCGCCGTCACCCCCGACGGCAACGCCCTGACCTTCCGTTTCGCCCCCGCCGACCCCGCCCTGCTGCGCTACGTCGTCTACAAGGGCTTCATCGCCATTGACGGCGCCAGCCTCACCGTCACGCGCGTCAACGACGACGAGGGCTGGTGGGAGGTCATGCTCATCAGCTACACCCAGGAAAAGGTCGTCACCGCTGCCAAGAAGCCCGGCGAGACGGTCAATGTCGAGGTCGACATGATGGCCAAGTATGCCGAGAAGAGCCTCGCGGCCTACTTTGGCAAGGCGGGGGCCGCCGCCGCGGGGACGACCATCAAGGACATTGCGGCGCAGAACCAGTGAGTGGGTGCGTCAGCGAGCAGTAGCAAAAAGAATTTAAAAAAAAATTGCATCAATGACATAAAATTCGCTTCGAAGCGTGAGACTATCCTAACGCCCTGTGTGCGCGCCGTGCTACAAAGACAATGAGCCTGTTGTGGGGGACGATCCCGGCACGACTCCTCAGACATGCATCTGTCACGCATCGGTCATGCGTCCCCCCATACCTCGGCAATCCGCTGGCTGACGGCCTTGGCAATCTTCTTCCTTCCCACCATATGGGCCAAGCCGTTTGACACCATTTCGCGCTTCCTCTTGAGACCCTGTTCGCCGGTCCCACACGCCGCAAATGCCTTGACAAAATCGTGCGGTGTTTTCCACCGCTTCTGTATCTCGAGAGCCTTTTCGCCAGTGACACCCCTCGTCGTCATGAGCATCTTCAGATAGACGTCCCTCAGCGTCATCATGTCCGACTTGGAGGCCAGAGATGCAAATGCTGGGTAGCTGATGTAGTAGCCCCTCTCCGGCTCCTTCTCTCGGAGGTGCGCCAGCAGGGGAAGGTAGTTCTGCGCCGTGAGCACCTTGGTCGGTATCACCAACAGCGGCTTGCTCTCGTACAGCTTCTTCAGCAGGACCGTCATCCTGGCAAGGTACCGGATCGTGTCGTCCACCTTCTGCGTCTTTTTGAGAAAGTAGCCGTTCACCACCTGCGTCGACGCCACCGCCGACTGCACCGACTCCTCGTACTTGGAGAAGTGGTTCGAGTCCATGGCGATCTCCTCGACAATGTAAATGACGTTCTGAACTCCGGACTTGCGGAGGCGGAACTTTTGCTCGTGGAACCGACCATCTTTGATACTGCTGACAAGGTCGTCGAGACGTTTGCGCTCGACGATCCAGTCGAGAACAACCTCGTCGCCTTCGGCACCGTGGGCAGTCAGGGCTGTAGCGTCGTGGGTTTTGGCGATCCACTGCGCGTCGCCGACGTCGAGGGAACGCATGATGGGCTTGACGCCCTTTTTGATGAGCTCCTCTTGCAGATAGTCTCGGTCTTTTGTGGCGCGGATTTCGCGGACGTCGAGGAGGAGGTGAACCGTGAAGGATCCGGGGGCGAGCTCGATAGGGGTAAAATGGGGGAGGCTATCACCAGCGGAGACGGACCCGTTACCCACGACGCCCTCGTAAGAAGCTTGAGGGGCGGTTTCCGCGGACCTGCCTGCTTCGGTGCGCGGCAGTGCTCCCGTGGACTCTGCTGTGTTGATCGGTGCTGGTGCCCCGCCACTTTCATGTGCCGCCTGGGGCGCGTCGGCGGCGCTGGCGGCCCCAGATGGTCCCCCGCCGCCCGTTGTGGTCTGCTGGATCCGCCGCGCAACCTCCCAGCCTTCATCCGTCAAGGCGTACCTTCGCAGCGGCCGGCCTCTCTCATAGACAAACTCCTTATCCAGCAGCGTCTTCATTGAGTTCCACGCCGTGTAGAACTTGGTGGGATCGCTCGGTGCCGTGAAAGACGAGTCGCTGTGCTCCTGCGCCTTGTCGACGAGATCGGCCTTGGTCATGCCCGACGTGGCGTCTTCACCGAGAGTGGCGAGGGCCAGGACGAGAGCATACGCGCCGGATCGATAGGCAGGAACGTACGGTTTCGGCTTTCTCGTCTTCTTGGGCGCCGCCGAGCCCTCGCCCTCGCCCTCGCCATCCTGCGTCTCGCCGGCGTTCCTGTTCTTCCGGGGACGCTCAGGCATCGGCAGGCCGTTCTGCTCGCAGTGTTTCTTCATGCGATCCGTCAGCCGCGACGACATTTTCTCGCCGAAGCCCTTGAGCTGGACCAGCTGCTGGGGGTGTTCGAAGGCCAGGGGACATGCTTTCAGGGACTCGTAGGCGTTTTTGTATGTCGTGACGCCTTTTGAGTTGCGCTCCCTGGCCGTGTCGAGCCATTCCTTGACCCAGTCCAGGAGAAGGGGGTTGGCGTATTGATCATGTTCCCCCATGGTGGTGCGAGTGGTCAATCCTCATGGCAGTGGCCAGGGCTCATGGGATCGGGGTGGCAGTGTGGCAGGGAGAAAGCGTGGGCAAGAAAAGCAGCGGCAAAAAAACAACAAAAAAAACTCCAAACGACGGAATGAGCCAAAGACCGGAGAACTGGAGAGATCAGCTATTCAATAGTGGCCAGACGCTCCCAAGATGGCAGGGAAGGCATCGCCAATGGTGACGCGACGAGGTTGTGGCGGGTGGGGACGCAAGTGCGAGCTGGGCGCGCGAACTCACGTGATCCCCAAGGACGGGTCGGTTTCTATTCTCAGCGCAACGTTGCGTCGTATTTGCGTCACCGACTGACTTGCATCAGCCCGGCAGACACGATAAAAAGGTCTTGCTGCCACCCCACGCTAGCCTTGAAGCGGTCAAGCAGCAGGAAGCAGGGGCCACCACACGAGCTGGCCATGGCGGGGTCTCACCTGTAGCTGGTCCTGCTGGTCCACCCAAGAGGGGGCCACCCCGGGCGAGTTTGCTCAGGCACCGCAGCCCAGTGCAGGCCTTCAGGGCATCCCGCCCAGCCCCTCCCTGCCCCTCCAACCCCTACCTACCTATCCTCCGCCGACGTGCGTCTTGTCTTGGTGCTGGGCTTGACCGTCTCTCAGACAACTTTCTCAGCTTGTCTCAACAACCACCAACTTCAACTCGACGATCAATTTCTATCATCTCTTTTTCTCCCTTCCCAATTCCTGACAGCCTCTCTACCCGCGATCGATTTCACACCCTCCCAGCCATGGACGCAAAGTTCCTCGCCGCTTCCCAGAAGCACCCCATCGTCGAGGGCCATACCTTCAAGTATGGCACTGCGGGGTTTCGCATGAACTCTGACCTCCTCGATGGCGTGACCTTCCGTGTCGGTCTGCTCGCCGGCCTTCGCAGCCGCAAGCTTGGTGCCACCATTGGCGTCATGGTCACGGCGAGTCACAACCCGGCCGAGGACAACGGCGTCAAGGTCGTGGACCCCCAGGGTGACATGCTCGAGCAGGACTGGGAGGCCCATGCTACGCAGCTCGTCAACAGCAAGTCACACGAGGCCCTGCTCGAAACATACAAGGAGCTCGCCGCCAAGCTCAAGATCGACCTCTCCGCCACGGGCCGCGTTGTCTTTGGTCGTGACACCCGTCCCTCCGGCCACAAGCTTGCCATTGCGCTGGCCGACTCGCTCGACGCCACCGACGTCGGATACACCGACTACAGATCCTCACGACCCC